GTTGAAATTTCAAAAAAAGTGGTTCACAGATAAGGTTATGTCTACGCATGCGCAATCTATATTTTGACGCATAATTTCAATTTGCTTTTATAAGAGTATCTTCCGCTGAAATTTCAGCAGAATTGGGTCACAAATAAACAATGTAAGTCTGTGGATGCGTAATCAATTTTATTGCGCCTTTTAGTCTCTTAAAATTTGAGGAAAAACCGCTCATAAATAACAAAGTAGAGTCTGCACATGCGCAATCTATTTTTTTTTCCAAAAGTGCGCATAGTATATTATTGACCCAAAGTAACGGGCGATCAAAACTAATTTGCTGTCTAGTCGCCTTTGAAAGTTCAAGTTAAGTACGATTTCCTATGTAAACAAAAATTTCAAAGGTAATTTGACAGCAACTCATTTTTGACCGCATGGCTCAGTGGTTTCCAATACGTTTCTTTGATGCAATATGCGGTCGATTGCAACTCCCCCTGTAGAAACACCACAGAAGTTTTATGGTCTTGGCTCCAGCTCTGTTATTCGACCCAGATTTAGATTTGCACGTGCCACATTTAGCACGGACTACCCCTGATGTGCCATAGTACCCAATTTTGGGTTTGACAGCTAGTTTCCTCCAAATGTTCACGGTTGAATATTTCTCGAACGGGGAACGGTTATATTGCGGCGGCAGCTTTTTAGAAAACGCCTCTTAAGAGCCGATTACCGCATTGTTCCAGTTTCCGTTCCTGTAATCAGAATTTCCATAGCACGCCAGATGTAGAAGCAACAGGCTACTATTTTCTTATTTCTTACGGGCGCCATATTGGATGGAATGAAAACGAAATTTCAGTTTTTCGGTAATATCTCAGTTACCTACTTTCAAAGATGTTTTAATAAAAATTTCGAAAGCGTCTTTGTAGTCACAAAAAAGGACAACTTTACCTCCAATTTAACATACACTGTATTTCTCACCGTTACGAAGATCCCATGTCGCGAATTTGAACCACCCTGTGTAATAACTACAAAGCACTCTATTAAGGCCTCTTCCTGGAGTACGCCCCTTACAGAAGCAAAGAATACTTAATTTATTGTTGTGGAAATTGATTAAATTTTTAACTTCAAATGAGATACCTAATAAAGAATTATATTGTGCTATACATATTTGTATTTGCAATAAAAAATGCTACTCAATACAGTATGTAATTTTTTTCTAGTTGATGATGGTTTCTCAAAGACGAAACGTTGCAGTGTAAATGCATTGATTTGAATTGACTTATCCCATAGCATTTATGAGCTCAGAGGATTAATAAAGTATTATTATTATTATTATAAAATCTGTGGCCACTCTCTTGTAGAGCTTAAAAAGTGCCTTCGAGGAAGTGAAATTTGTTTTTGGACAACTTTTCAAACAGGATCAGAGCAAAATCACGAAGAACGAATATGGTTAATTTCGGTTTTTTCCTAATATCTTCGGAACTGATCGGAATTTCTCAATTTTTAAAACATAATTTTATTAAGCCCAAAATACGCAACTTTTTTCTGATTTAACCGCTCGCGTCTGTCCTGGGCCTTAACTACTCCTACAGGTTTCAAGATATTTAGTTCGTTCTTTTTGCATTCCGTAGCGTATAGCTCTGGCACTTGAGCCAAGGAAAATCTTGACGATTAATCTGCGCATGCGCAGGCTACGCAATGTCACCTTTCTTATTTATGGAGGTATTTCTTTGAAATTTTAACCAACGGTGCTTTTAGTAAAACCAAACGTATCGCATATTGTAAACATCAGATTAATGTGCGCATGCGCAATATCAACTGTCATATGCCTCCAGTATAGAGAAACATAGCGAACATAGCTATGGCGTTTTGGGAAGTACTGATGAATTCATGGAAAATACGCTGTTTACTCGCGTTAGGGCGGAAACCTTTTTACTTGTTTAAAGCTTTACTTAAAAGGGAAAAAAATCCCCACCAAACGCGTCTAATAAAAAGGTGCATTGCTATTTAAAAAAATTCAATTGTTTTCTGTTTCTCATTTGTTTCCTGAAATCAAAAACAACTGACTGCTGGCCTTATTATAGGAAATAAAATATTAAACAATGTTTATATAAAAAAATATTGTATACAGTCGTTATTTACCGAGGTATATACTAAATTCCATGCATAGTGGGCCCTGTATTATTATCGTATTGTTTATTAATAACGAATGCTGTTCCGAGTAAAGGGGTGTTTTACATTATAGTTGTCGCTGGTTTTCTGTTCAAAATGGTAAACTGTACATAATGTAACAGGTATTCGTCGGTAGACACCCGTTTTGTAAAATTGTAAGGTCTGTAATCTCTATATTACATTTACTTTAAACGTTTATGAAGATGATTTTCGTAGTTTAAACATGGTTCCTAAAGAATATTGCCTTTGAAATTTTAATTTGGGTTTGAAAGTGCTCTGATTCAATTTTAGACATATCAGTGCCCCAAAATCCGTAACTGGGTGCAGAGAATTAGGTTTCTCTGGAGGAGTTTCGATATTCAATTTGTTTTCTGAAATTTCTGGATTCTACGTGAAATTTCAGTTCTTTTGATACCCATATGTCGATATCTGCAATTTATGATTTTTAAGTTATTTTGACTAAGAAAAAAATGGCGGATGCGGATGGTACCTTGATAATTGATTACTTGAAAACGGTTTTAGTCATGGCAACCTATTTTTATCAGTGCATAGAGAATGAATAGGGCTTTCTTTTAGTGCACTTAAAAAAAAGTTAAGAAACTTAAAAGACTAAAAACTCAGTTTTTTTAAATGGAATGACCATTTTCTTACTATTGCATGAGATAAAGAATCGAAATGGGCATATTTTGACAATACATGTTCCTATAGCTATCTTTAACAGTTTCTGACTGATTCCCATTTTATTGAATTGACACTATTTTTTTCGGATTTTCTTTTTAGTAGTCGGCCATGATTTTATAACAATGGAATTTTAAACAAATCTAGTGACACTTCACACTAATCCGTCACCTACTGTTATAGGTTTATAACGGGCGATCAAAAATGAGTTGCTGTCGAGTCGCCTTTGGAAGTTCAAGTTAAGTACGATTTCCCATGTAAACAAAAATTCCAAGGGTGACTCGACAGCAACTCATTTTTGATCGCAAGTTTTTCAAAAATCGAAAAATGACTCGCAGTGGTTTGACCTACATATTTTGGAATTTAATTGTTATTTATGGTGAAATGGACAGAATCGCGGCGCGTGCTTGCCGTACATTCATTCGAACACTGGAACGAAATTGTATGAATTTTGGAAATGTTGTACCCCCAAATGCACTACAAACCGTTGAAGCACAAGTGATACAAAGCTCTACAAGAGAATATTTAAGAAAATGAATTGAATTGCAAATGCAAGATTAACAAAATAGATTCAATGCAAAATATAAAAAACTTCGTTGAAACATTTTTGGTATGGAATTGTTGCTAGAACAGATATCGCATTACCTTTCTGAATTTCCAGACTTATTGTGTTTGTTATTGTTGTTTAAGAAATTCTGTTGAACAACTCTGTCTAGATTTATCAACAATTTTCCGTCCTATATCCTTAATAAATGACTTATAATAAATTATTTAGACTAGAATCAACGATATCCCTTGATTTGTTTAAAATTCGATTGTCATAAAATCATGGCCAACTACTGAAAAGAACATGCGATAAAAATGGCATCAATTCAATGAAATGGGAATAAATCTGAAACTGTTAAAGATAGCTATAGGAACATGTAATATCAAAATATGCCAATTTCGATCCTCTATCTCAGGCAATAGTAAGAACATGGTCATTCCATTAAAAAACTGAGGTTTTAGACTAGCAACGCTACGCAACTTACTAACTTCTTTTTAAGTACACTAAAAGAAAGCCCTATTCATTCTCTATCCACTGAGAAAAATGGGTTGCCATGACTATAACCGTTTTCAAGTTATCAATTATCAAGGTACCATCTGCATCGGCCATTTTTTTCATAAAGCCAAAATAACTTAAGAACCATAAATGGCAGATATCGACATACGTGGGTACTGAAATTTTACGTAGAATCCAAAAATGCAATAAAAAATAGAGGTTGCCATTTAAAATAACCAAGTTACTATCTACTTCCGGTGTTTCCGGAAGTGTGGCCATTTCGAAAATGTTTTACATCGATTCTGCTTTCAGAGTAACTGCTAAGTACAAATTTTCAAAAACCTACCTATTTTACTTTCCCAGAAACGTTTCACTAAAGCTCCCAAAAAAACACCCTGTATACTATATTCCATACATAATGGGCAGCCTGTATTATTTTCATTCAACCAAAACTTTTACCATTGAATTTCAATGCTTTTACTTATTTTTTAGCGAGAGTAAGGCCGCCCCACTCGCTCCACCCTAAGGACGACTCTGGTTGCATTGTGCTTACCGCGCTTGGCGTAGTTTCCATCTTAGGTTCTTTTTCATCTGTTTTGGGAAATGTTTAGCTGGGAACACTTTGCTCATTCCATAACAAATAAAGATTGCAAGTCTTTAGGGGGTTTTCTGGGACGGAGGGGGGGGGGGTAACTCAGCCAACGTGGTCCGGTTATAAGTTACACTTTGCGCGTTTCTTATTCCCAAAAGTTGATATAAAATACAATTGAAAATCAGGTGACCTTACGCCGAGCCCCCAAGTCAGGCATTTATCACCGCCAACCCCTGGTTACGGCAGCTTAGCGGCGCTCCTAAAAGAATGGGTACCTCGCTAACGGATTGATGGCTGATAAGGATGGCAGGGCACAAATCCGACAACAAGCAAGGCACCCGACTTTGGCGTTTGTGTTGTCAGTGCCCTGCTAACTTCACGAGTCTTATCTAAAGCCTTTTATTCTCAGAGTGACCATCCTGTACCCTTGCTGCTATCAGATCAGATAACTTTTTACCAGTACCAAACGGCCTTAATCGCATCACTGACAAGCTAAAAAGTACCGGATGGCTAATTATGACAATAAATAATTTAGATAGCATATCAAAAAGCGATCATTTTGTTTATTACGAGTTTGTAAAATAATATTTTAAAAGCAACAATCACTCATTAGCCTGTACAACACAACTGAAATTATTTGAATGCCAACCAACGCCAATGCCATCAAATCGTAATTATTTTTATTAGTATCAGACAATATACCTAATGGAGACTCTCCCTATCAATTAATGCGTTAGTCCAATCGGATCATTTGTTGTGTTAAAAAGATTTTACAATGATTTCCGCTTTTTGCTTGGCTCTTTCAGTTGTAGGAAAAAATTTGATCGAATTAAACGTTCGTCGTCGTCGTCGTCGTCGTACTTAAATTCAATTCTGCAATTTAGTTCGTTAAGATTAGTTAACGCGAAGATGTGAGTCGACCGAGACGTTTATTGAAAAAATACTTACCTACATTTTTTGTGTATTAATTTATCACTGGAGGAATTTTTGCTCGTGTTCAAGCATGATAAATCGTAAGTAGATAGTGTGTGCTTGAAATAAAATCTGCAAGGTTTTCGCTTGATTACGCTGCTCGGAAAACAACCGAACCGCGCGCCAGAAATGAAAATTAGGTCTTAAATTTTAATTACTGGCTGTCATTATTGTTATCGCAATTTAATAAACTTGAAGATAATGTCTATTTACACTTAACGATAACACTTTGTTCAATTATACCTATTAAACGCGTAACGTAATTATTTAATTTTCCCGATGATCACGTTCATTATTTGGAAATGTTTGTGACTGGAAAGTGTGTCGTTTACAGAAAATCGTATTGTAATTAGTCGAAGACGATGTGTTAATTAGTTAGTAGTACAAATTAATGTTTTCAGGAGTTCTCAATGTCGATTTATAAAGTGACTGCATTCGTTTGTTTTGTTATACTTTTCAAATTGACCCATGAAAAATGTGCCGACGATGATAAAGGATGCGTCCAGACGAAAACCCACGGAATGATTAGCGCCGACTGTTACAATGGAAATTTTCGAAAAATACCTCAGTGTTTGCGGAGTGACGTGGAAGTAAGTAAATTTCGTATTTTATTACCTATTTGGGATTACGTTTGCGGTTTTTACAGTCATTGTTTCCCTGATGATAAGAAGTTGTAGTTACCAAGTTGTGAAACCGATTTGTTTATAGTTGCACGTTGTAACCTTTGATTACGTCGAAATCGAGGGAAATTCCATTGGCGAAACGGGAGCCGGTCTTCCTTACTGGTTTTTGGAATAGTTTTTCGAAAAATACCTTGAGTCAATATGATGAAATTTTCTAGTTTTAGCTGAAAACGAAAAATTTTTGTGATTATCGAGTTCTGTGGTGTTTCGTTGTGGCTCAGGGTCTTCGGTTAGATAATATGCGATCTTGTCGTAGATTAAAATAATTTCGCGAAAGTTTAACTATTATGTGATACAGTAAAATGACCTTGGGCAAATCTAACCCCTGCTTGCTTGCTCTCCTTTTTACACAAATGTCTACTAATGAAATAGGAGAGTTAGTGCTACCAAATGAGTCATTTATAACTTGATCGGTGTGCAAACCATAAATTGTTATGGTATCTCCTCTTTCTGTTAATTTAGTTAATGCGATAAGATGAGCACGAAATGTGATATTTCGCAAAGGAAAGGAAGGGATTTTTTGTTCCCCTGGACTAGCGTTTTCTTCCGTTGGAGGAACTAGAGAGTCACTTTTGTCGCCGGAGGGATTAGTAGTTAATAATGGAAAATTATTACAAGAAACTGAACAAGAAACCATAGAAACGATTATGATTTATGCAGTTATGACAACCATAGCAGAATCAATCGACTATTGGAGTAAAATGTAGTCCGCTCACTTTATAAGCTAACACCCACATATAAAGCACCCAAGGACGTTAAATTTGAACGTCCTTGAAAGCACCAAACAACCACTTAGTGTGCAGCGCCATCGAGAGCTGCAGCGGGTCCAGGCGCAACCTAAGTGCCCGGGCCCCTGATGTAAAATATCTCGTAAAATATTCATAAGGCTATAACTCATTTAGTACAGTAGCCCCAGTTGCACCAACAAAATTAAGCATTGCTTAAAGTTAGTCGAACTTATAATCTATGGCAACGATTATTAAGACAATCGTTGCTATGGTATTTAAGTTATGCTGAACTTTAAGAGATAGGTAGGTACTTAATTTTGACGGTGCAATTGGCCCTAAACATAGCAGCTGTAAGGGGGCAACAGAACAAATTAGAGATAAGCTGGTTTTGGCTAATTTCGATACATAATTACATGTACTACAACATACTAAAAGTCCCATTGGGTAAACTTATGGCAAGTAAGAAAAAAGTGGCAGCCATCTTGAATTTTTCCATTTTTGTTGTTAATATTTTTAGTAAATTGAATCTATGAAAAAATGTGCACAGTACTTTTTGTTTAGAAATAAAAAATACATAGGTACTACTCCATTAACAGTTTTTCGTATTGTATTATACAGGGTGTAGAAACTCATAGGGATTTCAATGGTAATTTTTTGTTGTTAAAATATTTTCTCTCCTAATTATTTTACAGCAAGTTGCAAATAATTTTTTTGTAGATTGTAAAATTCTGCGTCTATTCATTTGCCCATTTGTAATTTTTTGTTGTGGGAAATTAAGGAAATTATAAATATAAATCTAATTTTTGTTTTAATAATTTCACGGCACGAATGATTTTAGTAAAAATTACTCAGACGCCCAATTTTTCAAGCCACAAGAAACCTATGTACAACTTTGCTCTAAATTAATGAGGTGAGAAAATATTTCAATATAGCATTGAAGTCTCTAAGGTGAATAAACCGTTTCTGCACCCTGTATAGTGTATATACAGTCTGTTTTAAATTAAATCGGTAATGCTAACTTAAGGTAGAGTAGAGTTAGAAAGACGGATAAATTATCAAAATTGTGTATTCTTCTTTTACTGAATTCGAATTTGTGACTAAAAAACCAAACATCACATTGTTCAGAAAATAACAAAAATTAGACTTTTTATACGGAATGCCCTGTATATTATTACCTCATATGACAGCTTATTAAATTCTCTACAAAAGTTCTTAATACACCATCCATAGCCACAAAGACCAAATAACTAAGATTGTTCAATTATTTTCATTTCGACTTAGTTATCCATGAAAATGATAATAGTACATTATATATCAAGGTAGAAAAGTACAGTATTATTGCCTGAGCACCAAGATTACATCTCGAGGCGCACCTTACACCCCTCGGCGCACCTTACACCCCTCGGCGCAAGCGCCTCGAGATGTAATCTTGGTGCGAAGGCAATAATAGACTTCTCTACCGTGGTATATATTCTATTTTTTTCACTACTAGCACTTGAAATCCTCTAAATTTTCATATTATATTGAGAAGAAAGTGAACGGTTGGATAGAATTTTTTGTTTATTAATTTAACATGTCAATCAAGTACGTAGAAGTACAAGTCAAACAGGCCGTATTTTGTTCTGTCATTGAGATATTTTCGAAGAGTAATTTCGTTCGAATTTTTTCAAAATATGATAATTTTAGGTATTTAATTTCTCTGGAAATGGCTGATGGCAGGGCCGTAGATAAGGGGGGGTTTAGGGGGTTCAACCCCCCCCCCCCCATTGTGAAATAAGAAAATAAAAAATATTAACTTTAGCATATTTTAACTTTACTATGCTTGCTAACAAAACTAAAACAAAAGAAAAACACATCTCGGTATCCTGGCGCCCGCCGGTCAGCTGCTTTGCTGATGCAGAAATGAGATGATTCAGTTGTTTCTACACTTTTGTTTTCAGTTTTCTTAACGACATGCAATAGATTGTCCGTTCGGCGTTCGTTGTCGGTTATCATAATAAAATAAAACAAAGAAGTAGGTAATAACTCTAGTAATTAATTTATTAGATAGTGTACGTACCTATATAGCTACTCTTTGATTGTGTTTAAGACGTTTAAGTTTATGTTGTTAGCGCCTTAAGGGAAAGATTATTTAGGTAAGTAGGTCCCTAATATACTAGGTGGGCCAAAAGACACCCTATTGGAAGATGCTCTTATTTTTGTAAATGGCGGCCAATGTCAAATCTGTTTTGACATTTGTGAACTAGACAGGTTTAGACATTGAACTATATACTCTGTAACTGGAACGGCATCGCCCGTAATAAACCGTTGCCAGGGGCCGTGGCGAATTTTTGTGAGAGAGAGAGGTGGGTAGAGGTAGGTATCCCTTACCTTGTTCCACTCATGTGGGCTTATGGGATGGTTTATACTACGTCTTACATTTTGCTTATTTTTGTCTAAAATAAGTTATTAAGAGATTTGCAAGAATGGTCATGAATTATGTTGCATATACGTGCAATCATTTTTATAATAAAAATTCAAATATTCAATTTCATGGGTACGTTTTGATAACATTATTCAACCTCGACGCGCGCATTTAATATTTTTGCGCATGACGGCATTTGCACCGCTCAGATTTCTTTACTGTAATGTAACCTCACACTCATTTATACTGTCCTTATGAATGATAAATTCTTCTTTCCCACTCTTTAATACTAATTCAATGATTCCACTCGCTAGAGAGCATCATATGAAGAAAAGCGTTAAAGCCAACAAAACCTATAAAGCCGTTTTGACTTACTAGGTAATTTGAATATGCTATATTATTTAATTTTTTACTCAACATTATTATTGATACTGCTCACTAATGGGGCGAAAAATACCTTTAAGGATTGATTTTTTTATTTATTACCGATTCCTTCGGCCTACAATGAACGTACATTAAGAGGCGTCAAAGTGTAAAGATAAAATATAAAAGCATAGGTACACATATCACACAGGTATATCATAAAAGTTAGAGTAGAAAATATCACGGTTTGCATTTTCTACATTCATATCCATCCACATTTATGTTTTAATGGTGTAGAAGCAGTTACATTTGAAAAACTTTTTTATTTCCTTACGAAATATTCCGAAGGATTTGCAGGTCTCGAGTTTTTTTGGGGCCAAGTTATAAAGGTGAGTTCCGGAAAATATGGGAGACCTTTTGTAGAAGGTGTAATTCTGACCTTATATAACTCGGCGTACATTTCATCTTGGAAGAAAACTGGGTTATAGGTATATAAGTAGCGCAATTAACCCTCTGGTCCAATTACCATACCACTACGAGTAAATTGGAATTTTTGCTCTTAAAGTAACCATGATTCTTTAAACTCATTTTATTCTGAAAAAAAGTGCTTTTTTAGATTTACTTTTACCTCGACGCCAATTGTAATATATATTAGGTACCTCCTTGCTAATATATTATATAAAGTGTACGTTACAAACGAACACAACCAATGTTTATAACTTTATTTTACGTTAATAAGTAAATGGAATGCGTCGAGCCACCATGAATGACATTAATTGACATTACACTTGTAACTTCAAGAATCAAGTATGTAAGTGTGTGAGTGAGAAATGGCGCAGTTTACCACATTATTAAGTATATATTTTAAGATATTCCATTAACAAATCGATATTGGCTCTTATAAAAGCATCGGCAAGCATTTATCTTTATCTTTCTAAGGCCCCAACCTCCCAGTTTATGTACTTATCTGTATTTTTAACCAAATACGTGTGATCGGTCCTGCATATGCAATACAAAACAACGTGCCAGACAAGGATGAGAATACCTACGTTATGCTGGTTGCCTAAAATCATTGCGGCACGCGATTTTGGCGCTCGATGCCGTTCCAGTTACAGAGTATATAGTTCAATGGGTTTAGAATACAAGTGAACAAGCCATGGAGCGAAACACTCTCTAAGAATGCGGAATAATCGTGTCTATTTTTTTGCGTAACAATTCATCTCTCGTTTTGGCGATTTACACTGGCCCGCAAGATCGCTCGATTTAACCGTTCCAGTTTTTTTGTGGGGTTTTTTGACGTCCCGTGTGTACATGAACCAGCCTGAGACCCTGGAAGCTCTCAAGGACAAAATTCGACACGAGTGCGAGAATTTGTCACCCGAAGTTCTCGCTGAAGTGATGAAAAATGCCAT